TTCTCTTCCTAAAATTTCAGTCACTCACAGTTCAACTTCACAGTTGCCACCTGTACTCTTATTTCACATTTTTATTTTGGTCAAATCTAAATAGCTCTAACCTTATTTTTGCCCTAAGCACTAATAGCTGTGAAAGCACACATGATTTGCTGCCACACAATGGAAGAAAATACAAAATCTATATGATAATGCCTTATATAGAGAGTATATAAAGTTACAACTTTATATACTCAGTTTTAGCTGAGTTACAACTCAGTGACAAGAAGAAAAACAATCCAATTTAACAATGGGCAGAATGTGGAGGGATGGGCTAAGTGGGTGATGGGCACTAAGGAAGGTACTTGCTGGGATGAGCACTAGGTATTATATGGAAGTGATGGATCGCTGGGTTCTACTCCTGTAACCAATACTACACTGTATGTTAACTAACTTGAATTTAAATAAATAAATTTAAAATTTTAAAAAAATGAAAATGGGCAGAAGACTTAAACAGATACCCTACAAAAGACAACACACCAATGGCCAATAAGCACACGATAATATGTTCAACATCACTAGGCATCAGACAAAAGCAAATCAAAATCGCAGTAAGATACCAGTACACTCTAAAATTTAAAAGATTAATAATTCGAAGTTCATGAGGATGTAGAAAACCTGAAAATCTCATAAAACACTGGTGCGACTGTAAAATGGCACAAATATTTTTGGGAAGAAATCCTGGCATATCCTTAAAAGTTTGAAACAGTATATTCAAAAGCACAATTATCTAACTAGTAAGTATTTTTCTCTACATCAGAGATAGAAATATATACAGGGGCGCTTGGGTGGCTCAGTCGGTTAAGCGTCCGACTTCAGCTCAGGTCATGATCTCACAGCTTGTGGGTTTGAGCCCTATGTCGAGCTCTGTGCTGACATCTCAGAGCCGGGAGCCCACTTCGGATTCTGTGTCTCTCTCTCTCTCTGCCCTTCCCCCAACTGCAGTATGTCTCTCTCAAAAATAAATCAACATTAAAAAACATTTTTTAAAGAAATATATACAGAACAAAACAGGGTTAAAAAAAAGTCAAATATATAGTTACCGTAGGACTCCAAGTTGTGCTTCTCGTTATCTGTCCTAAGGAAATTAAAAAATACATCCACAGAAAGATTTGGACATGAATGTTCTGGGGACCAGGGACTGTTCTGGGGAATGGCAAGCTTCCCTGAGTGACATCTCATTCTAAGAACCCAGTGCTTGCGGGAAGCGTGGATGTGGCCGCCTACGGTGCTCTCAGCTTGCCTGGTATGGAACCATTGCCTCATCAGCAGGGCCCCAGTCTTAGTGTGTTGCCTCACAGATAAAACCTCCACACCATGCACGAGTGGTGACGGGGTGGCAGAAGAGAACCTTGACCAGGAAAGAAAACCTTCTTTTTGCGTTTTGGACGGATCGCTCTGGTATTGTTTTGAGCTCTGTCACACTGGCAACCCTGGGTGAAAAGAATTCACAGTAAGACCAGAGCCGAAAGATACCAAGCGATTGGCACTGGTTAAGGTTTCTCTTTTCTTTTTTAAGTTATTAGAATTTTAAATATAGTAGGCCGGAGTCTGGTTCATGTGGTTCCTCAGTAGATACGGCCCCAGACAGGACAAGTTTATGTGGCAGAGGTAGCAGACCACAGAGGAAGTGTGACCGAGCCTTTGCCTCCAGAATGAATATGGAAGTGGAGCATTCTGGAGTGTGACAGCGCCCTGCACTCCTGTCCCATTCTATCACGCCAAGGTAAAAAGTGAGAGCCCAGAGCAGTGTCTAGACAGAACATAGTCTTACCTTGGACAATTTCTGTTCTCTTTGTAGACTGTGGTAGGCAGAATGCTCATCCTTAAGTGTCAATCCCTAACGCCTGCAAACTGTAATATGTTACATTAAACAGCAAAAGGCTCTGCAGCTGTTAAACAAGATTTTACGATTGGGAGATTATTCTGGTTTGTGGGTGGGCCCAATCTAATCATGTGAGCCCTTAAAAGTAGCGAACTTTCTCCAGCTGGGGCAAAAGATATGGCAGAAGGGAAATTGGGCGAGATTTGAAGATTTGAAGCCCGAGAGGGACTGGATGGGCCGGTGCTGGAGTGGCCACAAAGAAAGCACGGGAAGGAACGTGGGCAGCTTTTACAAAAAGACCAGCCCCCAGCTGACAGCTAGCAAGGAAATGGGGAACTCCATCCTACAGCTGCAAGGAATTGACTCCGGCGAACAACCTCCATGACCTAGAAGCACAATCTTCCCCAGAGCCTCTAGGGAAGACTGCAGCCTAATTGAACAACCTAATTTCAGCCTTGGGAGGCCTTCTGCAGAGGACCCAGCTGAGCCCCGTTGTGCCCAGACTTCTGAGCCATGAAACTGTGAGATAATAAATGGGTGCTGTTTTGAGTCACTAAGCTTGTGGTAATTTTTCTGGCAGCAGTAGAAAACTAAAACATAATATTTTTTGAGAGAGAGAGACAGAGAGTGTGAGCAGGGGACGGGCAGAGAGGGAGAGACAGAATGTCAAGCAGGCTCCGTGCTGCTTGAGCCCGACACAGGGCTCAAACTCACAAACCATGAGATCATGACCTGAGCCAAAAACTAAGAGTTGGACGCTTAAGCAACTGAGCCACCCAAGCACCCCAAATGTTTATTTTTGAGACAGCATGAGTGGGGGAGGGTCAGAGAGAGAGGGAGACACAGAATCCGAAGCAGGCTCCAGGCTCTGAGCTGTCAGCACAGAGCCTGTCATGGGGCTGGAATCCACAGACTTTGAGATGATGACCTGAGACAAAGTTGGACGCTTAACCGACTGAGCCACCCAGGTGCCCCAACACATTTTTTTTTAAATTTTTTTTTTCAACGTTTATTTATTTTTGGGACAGAGAGAGACAGAGCATGAACGGGGGAAGGGCAGAGAGAGAGGGTGACACAGAATCAGAAATAGGCTCCAGGCTCTGAGCCATCAGCCCAGAGCCTGACGCGGGGCTCGAACTCACGGACCGTGAGATCGTGACCTGGCTGAAGTCGGACGCTTAACCGACTGCGCCACCCAGGTGCCCCTACATTTTTTTTTTTAAAGCAAGCAAGCAGAATTCTTAGGCAAAAGTGATTTTGAATTCCCTTTTCTTATTGCAAACATGTGATGTAGGAGTCTTAATGTTTGATCAAAAAAGTCTTAATCTTTGATCAAAAAAGAAGTTACAATCCATATTTCCACCTGTGCCCCTCAGTATATGGCTGTATACAATGGGAGAATGAAGCTCTATGCAGGGTATGTTCTCTCTAAGGCCTTCTAGAAGACCCTAGAGTGGAGGATGGATTTCAGTGAGATCAAGACTGTAACCAGGCTACTGTCCTAATCCAGTTGAGGGACGATAGGGCAGGGCTAGCTGCTGTGGTGAAGTCAGTTTGGAAAGAGAGACACTGGTTCCAAATGGCTCTGGAAGAGCCAGTTAGGTGGAAGGTAATCCCAGTGAATCTGAGAATGCAAGAGGAGAGGCTTGGGGAGCAATGCCCGTGGTATGAGTTGATTATGGGGGAGGGGGTACTTGTGGAACATCCATATAGCATCCGGGAGATGTGTGGATATTGAATACTGAAGCTCAATGATTCTCAGAGACTCCAATTTGGGAATAAGTAACACACAGTTTCAGAAGATGCTTATTATGGGTTCCCTTTTGCTTTAAAACACAGTAAGAAGAGGAATGTGGAAGAAAGAACCAGGATTTTGTTTGAGGTCATTAGAAAAGGATTGGAGAGGGGTACTCTGGGTGGCTGTTTGTCGGGTTAAGCTACCACTCTGCCTAGGTCAGTGATCTCACAGTCCCGTGAGGCCTTCTCCGCTGGCTGGCTCTGTGCTGACAGCTCACAGCCTGGAGCCCAGGACGGTGTCCCCTCTCCTCTGACCTCCCTGCTCATGCCTCTGTCTCAAAAATAAATAAACATTAAAAAAAAAAAAAAGGAGTGGAGACAAAAAAGGACAGAAAAGATGAGACAACTGTTGGGTGAGGTGGAATTGATAGATTTACTAATAAACTACAAAACAGGCATGCCTAGAGGGTTCATGATCTCTCTTAGAGGAGAAAAAGGAGATGGCAGGGAGGCAGAAGCTGGAGAACGTTCGTGTTAGCCACGAGGGCTCAGGACGGCTCTGTCCTGCCTGGGTGAATGACAGTGTGGCTGGAGGTGGATACCCAAGAGGAAGGCACAGGAAAGGATTCCACCAGCCACCTGCACACATGCGCCTTCATCAACTGGGTATTTGTCATTTCAGGAATGCAAATCTATTGTGTTTCTCCTGAGTATATCATTCAGTGAAGATTTAGCTATTCAAATCATTTTCAGGAAAATTGGAGCTGGCTCCCTGCACCCCCATTTCTGTGCACACAGAGCTGCTGTATTGACTAAGACTGAAAAAAATCTGAGTTAGCTTCAGCAGTAGCCACCCATGCATTCAACAGTTTCCTCTGGAAAAGCTCACGGTGACTCTTCTTGATACCCTCTGCTAAATCCCAATCTATGAAAATATTTGAAGGCTGCACACAGCAGCTGGAGGAAAGAATGAATCACCCACACACCAGAGCTCACGAGGGCTCCCTGCTGAACTACCAGCTGTGGGGAAAGCAGCCAGCCAGGGAAGGTACCGTTTAGGACACAGTGTTCTAGATGGGCTCAAAAAGAATTAAAATTTAACCCATTCCAGAGCACCAAAGGATTATTTTAGGTCATGGGACCAGATGCTACACTTTCATTACATTTCCTGATGCCCCTAATTTTGGCTAAGAATTGAAATAGTTGTTAAGATTCTCTTAGACTCTCTCACACATCTAATTGCAAGCTGCAGATATGAAATGTCTCCAGAATCTTTTCCTGCTGCCTTTTTAAGTCCCCCTTAGACACCCATCCAATATTGTTGAATTCAAACACATTTCTACCACAAGAATTAAAAAGTACTTAAGTATACGTTTATTCTACTCGGTATCAATGCCACACACACACACACACACACACAATGTTTCGATCACTTAATAAGTTAAAACATTCCATGTTTTAATAGTTAATAACAAGGACATAAATGATCATTTCCTGAGTTAACAGTGCAATGTAAAATTTAATCTGTATTGCTAATAAGACATTTTACAGCATAGAAATGTGATCAAAATGATCATTTACTTTATCATGTCATAAAACACCAGAGTTTACTGTAGTACAGTGATACGCTTTAAATGGTAAGGAAGTCTGTGACTCATCACAAAAGACACCTGTATGTACTTGTTGCCATGGTCGATTCCAGGTCAAATATCAATAGCAAAATAAGTTATGGTACAAAATAAAGTCAACAAGTTGCCTCTACTGAAGGAACATTTGATTTCATTGAAGAAACTGAAACCTGGATTCTAGTTAACCTTTTAGTTAGTATGTACAAAAATGTTCTCTTAAAAAATACTAAGTAATCACAAATTTAGACAAAACAGTTGAATAAAGGACGATGACAGCTCTTCATTATGCTGTAAAACTATGGATCTCCTCTTTGGAAAAGTTCCTATCACGCAGCAACCTGGAAAACAAATAAAAAGTACATGTTTCTTTGGCAAAATGTTTAAAAACAAAGAAGATCAAAGTTGACCGTCATAACCATAGTATTTTTTCATTTTCCCCGCTTAGTATGCACTTTCTCTTCAAATATCTAGTCAGTGTTCAAATTTTCAACTGTCTCATAAATGCCATAATTCTAAAGTTTGTTTAATGCCAACTAAAATCTACTCAGTGTGATTAGCTGATGTCTTTTAGGTATCTTTTAGGGATCTGTGAGATCCCTTCCATCTCTCTCTCTCTCTTCGTCCTGTGATTTCTTTGTTGACAAAACCAGGTTTTTAGGTCTTGCGCCACCCAGAGTCTCCATTTTGCTGCATCTCTGTGGTATACTTTAATAATATGTTGCTGTGTCTCTTATTTCCCACATTTTAATAATTGGATCTCGAGGCTTGATCAGATACGGGTTCAATTCTTTTTGACAAGACTATCTCCTAGGTAGTGTTCTTCCATCAGGAGGCTCATCATACCTGGTTGCCTCTCTTTTTGGACGCTAACAACCATTGGGGATCTACGTATACACCCATTAGTTCATGAGGGACTGAAGTTGGTGATACTCCTGTAACTCTTTCTTCATTTATCAGCTGAGGAATTCTATAGAGAAAAACGAACATCTGCTAATTTATTATGTAGTTGCCCAGTGGCACACCTCACAGAGAAGGCAGACTAAATGCTTCCCCCACCTTTATTCACCAGTTTTCAGAGTAAGGAGTTGATCCCCCAGCACTCTATCCTCATTCTCCCAAACTGAACAAGACAAGCAGAAATGTTGCTGAAGTATAATTCAATTTGGAAAACAGTATAGAGACTGAAATCTTAGAAGTAGCTCTGTTTAAAATGTGGCTGAAACTAGAGAAGGCCAAATACCATATGATTTCACTCATGTGGAATTCAAGAAGCAAAACAAACAAAGAAAAAAGAAACCAAAAAAAGAAAAAAAGAAAGACTCTTAAATACAGAGAACAAACTGATGGCTGCCAGAGGGGGGCAGGGAGGGGGGTGGGTGGGTGAAACAGGTTGAGCACTGAGTAATGTACAGAAATGTTGAATCATAGTGTATGCCTGAAACTAATATAACACTGTATGTTAATTATACTTCAGTAAAAAAGAAGAAAACGAAGTCGAAAATAAAAACATTTATTTAGTACTTGCTATATATGTAGTCACTGTGCTATGCACTTCACATTCCTAAGTATTATAATTTATTCCCTTGTACAGGTGAGTGCACTAAAGCTTAGAAAGGTTAAGTATTTGGTTCTAGGACACGTGACTTGTGATTACAGATGCTTACAAGTGGCAGAGCTGGGATTCAAACGCAAATCAGCGGCTTCTAGGCAAACACACATATTCAGACAAAGTAAGGGTGTGCGCAGGAGTCACGGGGCCAACTCCGTGCAATGGTCAAGCCTCTCACTGTTTGAACTCACCTACCTTTCTAGCCACACTTTCTGTCCCTGCCTGGCCACACCAGGCTAGTCTTCTGCATACCTGACCCTTAATGGGTCTGCTTGTTCCTCGGCCCATCCAACCCTTCCCCGCTTCCTGTGACTGGCAGCATTTTGGCCGTCACTCAAACAACAGGTCTTTCCGACCATGCAGCAACTCTCCCTCCAATACACACCTGCCCAGGTGTAACTTGCCTCTTCCTGAATTTCCTTAACACTTGGGTTCCACCTCTAGTAAGAGGGTTTATGATATTCAGAGTCATATTTTAGTTATTAATGCATGCATTTGCTTCCACCACTAGACAGTGTGGGCCTCGATACCAGAGCCTGTTTTATTCATCTGTGCCACAAACACAGTGGGGATTTGGTAGATGAAAGCACCTTTACTGAGCAAGTGATTATCTTGCTCTTTATATCACAATAAAATCAGTTTCTGAGTCTGTCTCTTATCATATCCTACAAACCTAACGAATTTTCACCAAATATGGAGACTGTGTTTGAAATGGTTATACTTCTGTAGCAGACATGAGATTCATTTTGGAGGGCCTGAAGGAGTGAGAATCGCCCCCAAAGGAGTCATTTTTCAGGACAGCAAAACCTATGATCTAATAAGAGACCCACATAAATGTCAAGTAAGAGACACAAGACATTCATTAAGATGATCGAGACGAGGAAATCAAAGAAACAGGAGTCCTAAATTACAAGTCACAGGGCAGAGGCTATTAACTGCCAAGTACAGGCACGTTCAGAGATACTGTGGATTCAGCTTGCAGACCACTGCAATAAAGTAAATATCAAAATACGGCGAGTCAAATAAATTTTTTTGTTTTCCAATGCATAGCAAAGTTCTATTTACACTACAGTCTATTCAGTGTGCAACAGCATTGTGTCTAAAAAACAATGTACATACCTTAATTAAAAAAATACTTCACTGCTAAAAAAAAATGCTAACCATCGTCTGGGCTCTCGGCAAGTTGTAATCACCGATCACAGATCACCATAACACACGTGAGAGTAATGCAAAAGAGTGAAATACTGTGACAATTACCAAAATGTGACACAGAAACACTGTTGGCAGGACAGCAACAATGGACTTGTGTGACGCAGGGTTGCCACAATCTGCAGTATGTAACAAAAATGCAGTATGTGTGAAGCACAGTAAGTAGAGAGAAATAAAAAAAGGGTATGTGTGTACTATTTGGATTAAGCTACATCTCACAAGGCAATTCTGTGCAGCATGTTCAATTGTGAGCAAAAGCAGGGATCCATACATGACCAGTGATCCCCCTGAGCAATTCTTGTCAAGCCAGCTAGCAGCATGGAAAGATTAGCTCTGAGGTAAAGCTGAGAAAATAAAGCTGTAGAGATTACATTCAATTTTATAAATGCAGAAGTACTAGGATCTTGGCTATCTTCTATTCAATTACACATAGACTGAGGCTCCGGAATGCAAGGAAGTGGGTATGCAAATGAAGAGCCTGCAAATAGCCCATTGTTCGTGGGAGAAAACAACACACTTCTAATAGGAGGCTGTACCAGGGATTCTTCCTCAGTCAGTTAATTGGGCTAAATGGCCTTAAAGACACAGTCTCTTTCAATGCTGAAGAGTTTATGATTCACATCATTTAAAATGATAATTAAATTGCAGTCTGCTATGAAGTAAGCATTAAGATACATTTAAAATAGCAGTGTCAGGGCGCCTGGGTGGCTCAGTCAGTTAAGCGGTTAAGCGTCCAACTTCGGCTCAGGACATGATCTTGGGGCTTTGGAGTTCGAGCCCCGCGTCGGGCTCTGTGCTGACAGCCTGGAGCCTGGAGCCTCCTTCGGATTCTGGGTCTCCCTCTCTCTGCCCCTTCCCCAGCTCACACTCTGTCTTTCTTTCTCTCAAAAAAAATAAACATTAAAAAAAATTTTTTTTTAAATAGCAGTGTCAACAAAGTAAAAGAATGTAGCCTTTAGCCTTTTTCTTTCTGAAAAATTATTTTACTTCAAATCATACTGTTAGTCTTCACTATAAATTTAATAGTTTTGTTCCAGCTTTGAAAGATTAAAAGTTTAAACAGTAATTTTTTAAAAAATTTGAAGTTGAGAGTGCTTATACAAAAGAACATTTTTTCTGAAGGTATTACAATCCAGAAATAAAATTCAATTTAATTAAAATACTTTTTTAAATGCAACATAGAGAGAAACATTTCTCAATGCATGTACTGAGGTCAATATGTTTCTTAATTAAAATTAAAAATAGTGAGAGAGAAAAGTAACCAGAAAATGTGAGGTTTAGTCATATCTCAAACAAGGAAAAACAGGGTAGTTGAGGCAGTCATATTTTAAAATCACCTATACACCCAACAGTGCCTACATAAATAATGAAATTATTTTAAAGTGTCATTTTAGATTTAAATCAGAGCCAGGTGAATTTCGAGTAAGATGAACACTACCATTGATGCTTCGTCATCCAGTGTCAACTTGGAGTCTTAGCTTATTTATGTTCTAGTCTCTCCTTTTGTCTTGACGTCTGGCTTTCAATCCCTGTATTACTTACTAGCTTTTGCCTAACTGCAGAGAATGAAGAAAGGTGGAAAGCTGCAACAAGATGAACAATGCTTATTAATTATGTCCCAGATAAGAAAGTGGCACCATGTATCCACACTGCCAGTCATTAGCAATGATCATCATCCACATCTAACTCTATGCATAATCCTGGCCTCCAACCTCTCACCTGCATGAAGGTTAAAAACTACTATTTTCTGAGGCTGTAACCGACTATTGTAGTGCAGGTTTGTATGAATGGGAAGAACAGAGCTAAGTCGATTGCTTCTTATGGAAGATTTTCATTTCACAGTGTTGGGCATTCTTTTCCGTACCACATTGCTACTCACCGTATTCCTTGTTCTGTAAATGGGGTTGGTCCACAAATGCAGATGAGGACTTTGGATTTGTCGGAACTTCTTTTCAAAAATTCAGAAAGAAGAGCTGGTGAAATGTGTCCCCATTTGCCATTCCATTCAGAAGTGGGTGCTGAGAGAACAAATTCAACATCAAATCTGGAGGAAAGAAACATTTTTTAAGTCTATTATTTGAACATATTATTAGCATGTTTTAAGTTCATGAAAACATTTTCTTTTTTTCCCCTTGAGAACAACTGAATACCTAAACTGTAGTGTATGAAAGTGTATAAATTGATATACTTGCTAGAAAAGCACTAGAACAGATGATAAGCAAAAGTTTAACAAAAACATATAGGTAAATCCGTACTTACTAAGGGTTAACTTTTGCTACGAATAAGAAGAGTAATCTGGCGTTATTTACTGAACTCACTAGAAAGAGAGTTCCAAGGGATCTCAAAGAACTCCACATTTCTATTCATAATCTGCCTGTATAAATCACAGAACAGAGCAATTACCATTGGCATGTGCGTTTTAATCTCCGACCCAAACCTCTCCAACGAGCTCCAGACCCAAGAGCCTACTGGATTCATTTCTTGCTGTCTTCAACATCAACTTATGATCTCCCTATCCCACACCCGAGGTTATCTTTGTGAACGGCGCCACGGTCCACTTGGTTGCAAAAGCCAGGAGCTTGGGATTCATCCAGGAGACCTTTCTCTGCCTCACCTGCCATAAGCATATCCTCACCAAGTCCTGGCTCCTAACTGTGTGTCTACTTGGCTCAGTCTTCACGTGCTGCCCATCCTCTTCCTGAAATGCTTCTACTAAGCCCCCCACCCCCCTTCAGTTCTTAGCTCAAGCATCATTTCCAAAGGGGGAAGCACTGCAGCCCACAGTGCTCTGTTATATGTGTTGTAGGAATGCTTTCCTTTCCCTTTTCTTCGCAGCCCTTACTTCGGCCTGTAAATATGTGGTGATCAAGATGATTATCCTATTAATGTCTACCTTGCCCGCTACATCATAAGCTCCATGAGAGCAAGGATCACGCTCTGGCTGTCACTGCATCCCTAGTGGCCAACACACAGGAGGCATTCAGATACTAAGAAACGAAACACATGAAAGAAAAAAAAATGGGTACAGAATTAAAATGAGAGAGAAGAACATCAAACCAAATCTCACAACATACTCCAGACCATTTCTCCCCACAGCTCTGTGATCTGTTAAGTGAATTGCTGGTAAAGAATCACAGTAAATTAAAAATGTTATGTTGTACCTGCTCTCCATTGTAGCAAACACAATTCATTCTTAACCATTTTTAGCAGATCAAATGACTTTCTACATTTCCTAGTGAATAACTGAGATGCTTTCTCAAGACGAGCAGAAATAAATCATACGTTAACATCAATCTTAAGAAAAAGTACAAGCGAACAGTTTCTCTTGTGAGGGGGCCCAGGGAGCCAAATGTCAGAACAGAAACAAGACGTGGCCGGTGCCGCCGCCCTCACGTCGCTGTGTGACAGCTCAGGTAAGGTGCCTGCAAACTGACTGACACAGAGCAGCACAGGCCAACGCTGAGTGTCTGCAGGGGCTCGGAGAACCAGTCCAGGCTCTCACCCAGACCCAGGCCTCTTGGTCTTATTTGTTCATTTGCAGAATGAGGTGGGAAAACTATATCATCTCTGTTCTAATATTCTGATTTTATACTTAAAAACCCTACAGAATTATGTTCTATTTCTTACCTTTAAGGTCCCCATGTGGTTTTAGCAGCAATCTATTCTACTCTGTACAAAACAGCTTCCCCAAATACTTTCTTTCACTAACTTATTTTTCGTTGCTGGCATTTAAAATTTAAAATAGTTTTAGATAATTCCAGAATGTACTATTTGTACACTGCTCTGGGTTTGGCTTGAGGTAAGTGTGCAAAAATACTTGAAGGAATAAAGAAACTTATTTACAAAGAAGCCATATTGGCTAAAAAACAAACAAACAAACAAACAAACAAACAAACGAACGAACAAACAAAAAAACCAAAAATGTGCCTGGAAGAACAAAGTCATATGCTGGCATCTATGAAATCACATTAAAAAATGTACGTGAATTCATAAGTGCATTTTTCTGAGAAGATCCATAGCCTTTCAGCAGATCATCAAAGGAGACCCAAAAGCAACTGCAGAACCATTATGTTAAGACATTTCCAATTATACACAGACAACTGGATAAAAGATTGCAATTACCTGGTTAAATTAAAAATAAAAACTTGTCTCCTCTGGCTCTATTTCCAACAAGTTGGTCACTGGAATAAAACTGCTAAGATCTATAAATTAATACTGGTGTCCCTCTCACCTAATTTTCCTTTATTGAGATATTTAAAAGAAAAAAAAAAAAGCCTAGTCATTGGCATACCCTCTGCAGGCATCTACTAAAGGGTGATAAATAACTGAGATCCTTACATAAAGGGTGTAACCTTCCCATGCATTTTGTATTTATTCACACAGCGGTCCCTCGGCCATAATTTTTGGGTGCTTAATGGAAAAAGCACACAGCCACATGAATATAATTTTTAGGGATATTGTGAAGAGGATGCTCTCCTGCTTAGCCGCTACAGGATTAGAAGAGCTTAAAGTGGGATAGGAGCAATACCAAATTAAGACCAAGAATATTTTAAAGAAGCATTCCTTTTTATCATATTAAGATACAGATGATTACTATGGAATCCTCTCTTCTGGGTTATTATGAATAAGGGCCAATTTGCTGTATGCAACAATTATAGCCGTGAGGCATAAGAGTAAATGTTCTGAAACTCTTTTCTGCCCTGTGATCTCAACATGCAGGAAAGGACTAGAACTCTTGAGAAGGTTACCTGAAAATAAATTTAGATAATCTATTAAGTGCAAACAAAGCAACATAAAAAGAGAGCAAGTGGGCGAGAGAAAGTAGACCTGCTTCTGGTAAATACCTATGTGGTCTAAATGTCAATGGAAGTAAACAAGCTGGTGAAAATAATTACTATTTTTTTTCAATATATGAAGTTTATTGTCAAATTGGTTTCCATACAACACCCAGTGCTCATCCCAAAAGGTGCCCTCCTCATTACCCAGCACCCACCTCCCTCTCCTCCCATCAACCCTCAGTTTGTTTCTCTGATTTTTTCAAGTCTCTTATGCTTTGGCTCTCTTCCTCTAACCTCTTTTTTTTTCCTTCCCCATCCCCATGGGACTTTCTGTTAAGTTTCTCAGGATCACATAAGGAGGTGAGAAACCATATGGTATCTGTCTCTCTGTATGACTTATTTCATAGCATAACATGCTCTCCAGTTCCATCAATATTTGCCACAAAGGCCATATTTTCATTCTTTCTCATTACCCACGTATTGCTCAAATTTATATAAACCACCATTTCTTTATCCATTCATCAGTTGATGGACATTTAAGGCTCTTTCCATAATTTGGCTCTTGTTGAGAGAGTGTACTGTAAACATTGGAAATTTTAAGTGTTCTATGCATCAGTACTCCTGTGTTCGCCAGGTAAATTCTAGCAGTGCTGTGCTGGGTCATAAGGTAAGGTCTATTTTTTTAATTTTTTTTGAGGAACCTCCTGTTTCAGAATGGCTGCCAATTTGCCTTCCTGATGCCAGAAGGTTCCGTTCTCCACATCCTCTCCAGCATCCTATAGTCTCCTGATTTGTTCATTTGGCCACTCTGACTAAGCGTGAAGTGATATCTGGTGTGTGGTTTTGATTTGTATTTCCCTGATAAGGAGCGATGTTGAGCACCTTTTCATGTGCCTGTTGGCCATCTGGATGTGTTCTTTAGAGAAGTATCTATTCATGTTGAAAATAATTATTTTAAAGTAGACTGATAATGATCCAAGATGAAAAGTCTTGAAATACAAATGTACGCATTCAATCTAAAATGACTGCAGAGCCTGCAGTCATCAACAACTGATTCCCTCCCCCTCTGGCCAATCAGCTTCCAAAATGTACCTCCTTCACATTTCTTACACATATCTCCTGCCTTCCTATTTTTACTGCCACAACTCTGCAATAGGCCTTTATATCTCTCGACTAAAATACTGCTCTAATATCCTTAGCCCTAATCTATCTGACACATCATGGCTATATTAGTTCTTCTAAAAACCCAGAACCCATCTTACAACTTTCTGCTCAGAAAGCTTCTGTGATTAGTCACTGCCTAGAGAAGGGTATTTCAGGGTATTTGGAGCCCCAGCTTTTCCTGATTTCTCTAGATAAAGAAAAATACTAGATCATAGGGTATTTGTCTTTCTCTGACTGACTTACTTTGCTTAGCATTAAACTCTCTAGCTCCATCCATGTTATTGCAAATGGCAAGATTTCATTTTTTGATGGATGAACAATACCACATGATTTCACTCATATGTGGAACTTAAGAAACAAAACAAACACACAAAAAGAGAGAGAGAAACCGAGAAGCCACTCTTAACTATAGAGAACAAACTGGTGGTTACCAGAGGGGAGGTGGGTGGGAAGATGGGTGAAACAGGTGAAGGGGATTAAGAGCCCACCCATCACAACGAGCACTGAGTAATGTACAGAATTCCTGAATCACTATATTGTATACCTGAAACTAACAAAACACTGTATGTTAACCATACTGGAATCAAAATAAAAACCAATAAAAAAGAGAAAAATACTAGAAACAACAGGAAAACTAGTTACTTGCTCATAGGGTAAGAATTCACAAAATAAACAGGTAGGGGTTAAAATTTGATAAAATATACATATTACAGAGACATTTCTCAAAATGAATCTGATGAAACACTAGTGTTCTTCCAGATGTGAGTGGTAATCCATGAGAGAAGGCTAACCTCTCAAATGAGTATGGGACTACTGGGTTAAGAAAAGTTAAATAGATTTCTTCAGAATTTCTCAAAACCTTGAATATGCTAACTTCGCAACAAATCTTCAAGAAGGTAATATAGTACACATTCTGTCTCAGACTTATTTAATCACAGAGCCCTTTGGTCAGGGGAACACATGGACGTTTAAAAAAACACATTCCAAGAAACACACCATTTGAGGAACATCTGGGAGGAAGAAAGTCCCTTATGGGTCCATATTAGGGGCCGACATATTTGAGCACATCACAGGCTGGAGAAAAAGAAAGGGGTTCAGGCAC